CTCCCCACCACGAGTCTTCATTGATAGAAAGATGCCGAGGGCTGTGATCAGCATTACATCAACTGCTTATGTTGGCTGGACGAAGAGGATGCCATAGGAACTGACTACAATGCAATATATATATATATATATACATATATATATACACATATACATGTATTTCTTTTTTAGAAATTTTGAATTCTGTGTTCCTCAATAGTTCCAGTTTGACCATTTTACAGAAGGCTCTGCCAGGCAGTGCAGCGCCTTCTCAGTTCTCCGTGGTCCGGGATCTTTCCTTTGCCTTTCTGTTCTCCCGTCCAGTACATTTGGAATCAGAGGATCTTCATCCCGTTTCACCCCTGACTGCACATACTGCAATGTTAATATTAAGTCTGAAAGTGCGTTAGCGTGTATATGGGTATATATGTGTGCGTATGTGTGTGTGTGCACGCATGTGAGAGAGAATGGGCAGAGGGGTTCCTCTTGCTTGTTTGTTTTTCTATGTCCCAAATCCAGGTGCTGGTAACTGCAGCTCCCAAGGATGAAAATGACAGGGAAAAAAACAGCTTTTCCTGTATTAATCCTGTTTTCTAAAGGCTTTAAAGTTGGCTGCAAACTATTTTGGGGTGACTTAAGGAAATTTGGACATGCAAATGCAATTTACTGGGTAACGGTATAAAATTCAGCCAATGCATGTTTTTAAAAGCTGCATGAAATGCAATAAACCTTTTTTTTTTCCTATAGTATTCTGTATTCTGTGCCTTTCTCAACTCGTCTCATCAGTTGACCCTGATCCAAAACAGATTCTGCTTGGCCAGATTTAGACTTATCTAATGTTTTAAAACTGCTTCAGAATCTGCCCACGTCCTATGGATTGGCACGTTTTAGGTGAATGACTTGACTGGAGAAGCTTAGAACAATCCACTGGACAATGGATGAGCCCCAGTCTCTTTTTTTCTCCCCATTTTTTCACTACATAACTTTGAATCACCACCAACTGATACCTTGCTGCATTGCAAGTTCTGTACTAGGCAAGAACAAGAGAAGTCAATCTGTTCTTGGGGTTGGGGGTGCGGGGAAGCACTGGTAGCTAGTTGCTGTCATCTTTAAGAATAGCTCTCAATGCTTTTAGGGAATAAAGATGACAACTGTCTGGAAACTAGATTTTCACTTCACCTCCAGCCATTTAATTAAAATTATTTTTAAGAAAATCGGGGGTCTTGGCAGAGGATGTTACGAGCACAGGGATGCAATGGTACTAGTGGGTACAACAGCCCCTCCCTACATTAGTAAGGGATGGACAGTTGTAGCTTTAAACGAGGTTGGGAGGGTTCCTGGTAGAGTTATTCTCACTGTGGTCTTCAGGGAGGGAGCACTATGATGAGCAGAAGACGAGAAAGGGGGAGGAATTTCCCAGGTTGGCATGACCTTTGCGGGCATCTGGTACATCTTGAGGGAGCTGCTTCAAGAGAACAGGAAAATGTGGGCTTGGTGGTCAGCTGCTGCTCTTGAACAATCTTGAAAGCTACCCAAAGGATCAATCTGATACGGTCTGCCATTCCCACTTTCCAAACCCCAACAAATTAAGAGGGGCAGGAAGAGGAGGCAATTGGTGGTCAGCTCCAGACACTGCATTATGGCTTTGGTTCTGACTTAGTATGTGAACTCAGCTAGCCACCCCTTATAAATAAATCATGGTTAACCACAATGTGTGAATCTCACCATAAACCCAAAGGAATTAGCCTCCGAGCCAATGAACACTTAACTGGGAATCAGTCCCATTGTGTTCTGTTGGAGCTCGTTTTTAGTAGATCTGCTTTAAGATTACCCTGTAAAAGTTCAAAATCCTCTTGGTCTGCCTGTACCTATTCAACCTCTTCTATGTTTTCAAAATCAACTCGGCACGATTCTCTTGGTAAATCAATGAACAAGTCTCCAGTTGTGTTTTGCTAGTGAGGGCTTCTCAACCATGGCAACTTGAAGATGTGTGCTGGCTGGGGAATTCTGGGAGTTGAAGTCCACACGTCTTCAAGTTGCCAAGGTTGAGAAACCCTATGCTAGTATAATAAGTGGATGTGACCAGGGGCATAAGCTCTAAGAAATAATCTTGTGAGTACCACCAGAGGGCAGTAGATTCTCTAGCAATTTTGGATCTGGGTTTTGTTTCTTAGCAAGGTCTGTTGTGTTAATCTGAGTCTGGTTTGTGTAACCGTCAAACTTCGTCAGACAAATACACAAGTTAGCAGTGGAAGAAGGGTGGCTCTTTCAATAACCGTGTTTCTTGCTTGCTGATCACAGTACTTGAAACTGGAATTTTGGATTTCACTGTGATCTTCCGTGGCTTTTTCACCAGTTCTTGGAAGGCAAGGGTTGGCAAGAATTCTCTCTGGATGGCCCCTTCCCGTATGTTCAGGAGGGTCCAGAGCTGTCCTCCAGTTGCTGTACCTCCCACCATCTCCACTGCAGTTGATGAGACAGGTCCATAAGTAGAAATAGATAGGTTCGACAGGATCCTCTGCGTAAGAAAATCTGGGTTGGCTAATCCTGAAAGTTAGAGCTGGCAAATTATTAAATATTCCTAGCAGTGCATAAAACGCAGAAGTATCCTGAAGAGAGTAAAATGCAGACAAGTAGCTCCTATGCCTGGGAAAGGGCACAGCCACCAGCTTAGACCCCTCTTCCCCCCCAGCTCATAATCTTCCAATATTCCCTGCTCCCCGCCCCCCCCAGTGGATCAGGGGTGCAAGAGGAAAGGAAAAGATTAAGGCTGAGCTTAATTCCTGATGATTGCATAAGATTGCACCATGCGAGGGAGGGAGGAAGGAAGGAAAAAGAAAAGGAGGGAGGGAAGACGGGAGAGAGAGAGAGAGGAAGGGAGGGAGGGAGGACAGACAGAAAAGAGAAAGGAGAGGGAGGGAGGAAGGAAGGAAGGAAGGAAGGAAGCAAAAGAAAAGGGAGGGAGGAGAGAGAGGGAGGAA